AACCCTGGAAAGTCTGATTATTATGTCTTTTGGGGATGATCTTCTTGTGTAAAATCTTGCAGGAGTTCTCTGCATTTCTTGAATTTGACTTTTGACATCTCTAGCAAGGTTGGGTAATTTTCAGAAACAATATCCTAAAATACATTTTCCAAGTGATATGATTTCCCCTCCCCTCTCTTTAAGGGATGCCAATGATTTGTAGATTTGGCCTCTTTACAAAATTCAATATTTCTCAGAGGTTTTGTTCATTTTTTTTTTTTTTTGTCTGAGTGTCTTATTTCATTAGCCCAGTCTTCAAGTTCAGAGTTCCTTACCTCAACTTAGTTTATCCTGCCATCAATACTTGTAATTGCATTGTGAAGTGTTATATTGTTATTCACCTTTGTCAGGTATGTTAGGTTCTCTTTTATACTGACTATTTCATCTTTCATCTCCTGTATTGCTTTATTGTGATTCTTAGTTTCATTGTGATTCTTAGTTTCATTGGGTTTTGCCATCCTCCTGAATCTTGACAATCTCCACTCCAATGTATGTCCTAAATTCAATTTCTGTGGTTTCAGCCAGCTCATCCTGGTTAATAACTTATTGGAGAACTGGTGCACTCATTTGGAGGACATAAGACACTCTGGTCATGTGAGTTACTGGAGATCTTTTGTTGATTCTTTTTCATCTCTGCATGTGGGTATTCCTTTACCTGCAGTGAAGAGTGAGTACAGACAATAGACTTCTTTTCTGGGTATACACATAGGATCAAGGTGTTCTACAGGGTCTTTATTTGATGCTGACTTCTTGTCTATGGTTTCAGAGAGGGGTATGCTAGCAAAGCATTTTTGATATTGAAGCTCTAGAGTGTGATCCAGTAAGTGGCTCTTAGGCTTACTGGTCAGTTTGTAGACTCTCACTTGGTTGTGTGGCTTCCCTGCGTTTCCTCACAGTCGGAGCTGTGACCCTTCTCAATATTCTGAAACTGTGGGTTCCTCTCCTCCTTGAGTGCTGGTGGTTGATCATGGCTTGGCACTCCCGGGGTGACCACTACAGCTCTGGGGCAATCTCTGTATTTATGTTCTTTACTCAGCTTGGAGGCAGCAAAGGGAGTGGTGTGGCTAAGAGATCTTTTGCTTGTCTTCCGGAGGCTCCACTTCAAAGGGATACAGGTTAGCAATTGCTCAGTGTAATCAGCCTAGGTTAAAGGTTCTGTGCTATGAGCCCAAGCCAAGGGGTCCCTGTCTGGTGACAAGCAGTGGGTGGTGTGTGGGACACGTGGGAGATGGACTGGACTCTTCTCTTTGGTTCGACTACAGTTTGTTGGGGATGTGGATAAGGCATTTAGGGTCTTTGCTCATTTGTTAGTCTGAGGGTAGCAAGGAGAATTCCATTGCAGTCAGTGACAGAGAAGCTTTCAGTTGCCCCTGGAGGTCCTGATCAGCGAGTTGCCAAGTTGCTACTGGCTCAATAGCTCTGGTGGTGGGGGACTGGAGGCCCATGCTTGGAGGACCTGCCCAGTTAGGGTATACAGGTATGGGCACCAACTTAACAATCTGGTCACTTTTCTGTAGGGCTGCTGTGTAGGGGTCCACTTCAGTCCCTAGTGACCTCGGATTTTCCAGTATTTAGGGGTATCACCAGTGAAAGCTGCAAAACAGCAAGCATAGCAGCCTGGCTCTCCCTCTGAGAGCTCTGTCTCAAGAAGGTACAGACCTGTTAATGACTGAAATATACCTGTAGGAAGTGTTTGCCAGTTGAAAGGTCCCACCCAGTGAATAGGAATGGGATTGGGGACCTACTTTACAAAAGCAGTCTGGCCACATTTTTATAGGGCAGTTGTTCTGTGCTGGGGGTCCACTTCAGTCCCCAGTCGCCTTGGACTCCCCAGAGTCCGAAGGTTAGAATAGCTATGTCATCCAAATAGCAAAGATAGCAGCCTGTTCCTACTCCTGGGATCTCCATCCAGGAAGTTTTCAAATCTCTACCAGTAGAAGAGCACTGGCAGGGTGGCTGAGGACCCCGGTTGGGGGGGCTTTCCCAGTAAGAAGGAATGGGATTGGAGATGCACTTATAAAACTCATTTGATCAGAATTTCACAGAGCAGCTGTGCTGTGCTGTGCCATTTTCTTTCATTGTTTTCACTTTGATGTGTATATTTGTGAATACTTTTGCTCTTATCTTACTTGGTGTTTGTTGTGCTTCCTAGATTTGGAGATTACACCTCTTTAGTCCATTTGGGAAGTTTTCTGCCATCATTTATTTAAATATTTTATCTTTTCTTTTTTTTATGTTCTCTCCCTCTAGTACTCCCACTACAGAAAAGTTTGTGTATTTAATAGTGACCCACATTTTGATTCTCTGTTCATTTTTCTTTATTCTTTTTCTGTCCTTGGGATTGTATACTCTCTATAGATTTTTGTAATTTCTCTACAGCTTTATTATGTCAGTTAAAAGCTGTCATCGAACCTCCCTAGTGACTTTTTCTTTTAATTATATGTACTTTTCAACTCCAGAATTTGTTTCATTGTCTTGTATAATTCTTCTCTTTTTTCCAATATTACCTCTTTAGAGCAAGATTACTGCCATACCTTTTTTACTTCAATCATGGTTTTTAAAAATTCTTTGAGCCTGTTTATAACGGCTACCCATAATTCTCTGTTACCTTTGACATTTTGTCACTTTCATGATTTCTGTAGACTGTTTTTTTCTGGCATATTGGCCATACTTACCTGTTTTTGTTTCTGCTTTAATTTCTCAATAATCTTGTTTACAGTAATTGGAAATCTAAGTTAACGTATTGTAGCAGCCCTAGGTACTTCCTCAACCTTCCACAGCTTATTATTGATATTTGCTTGCATGCTTGCTTATTTAGTGATGGTCTGGAATATTTTAGAGAAGTCTAACCCCCTCCCCAACCCCTGTAGTGTGAAGCCTCTGAAGCTGCTCCTCTTGAGGGGCAAATTTGGGTATGCCAAGAGTTACAGAGGAATGACAGTGATTATGGTAAGGCCCTCATTAAGGGTCTCTTTCTCTAATCATACACAGTTATTATGTTCAAATTGATGACCAATTCTGTCCAGTAAGGCCATTTTTTTCAGTGAAGCTATGGGGCATGCCCTTCACAGGCTAGTCTAGTCATATTTAGAGACCTTTAAAGCAGCAGGCGTTCCCAACCCCTGGGCCACAAACCAGTACCAATCTGTGTCAGGTTAAGAAGTGGGCCACATAGCAGAAGGTGAGAGGTGGGTGAGCAAGAATTACTGCCTAAGTTCCACCTCCTATCAGATCAGCAGCAGCATTACATTCACATTAACAGTGTGGACCCTGTTGTGAACTGTGCATGCAAGGGATCTAGGTTGTGCATTCCTTATGAAATCTAATTAATGACTGATGATCTAAGGTGGAACCGTTTCATGCCAGAACAATCCCCTAGTGTCCGTGGAAAAATTGTCTTCCACAAAACAATTTTTGGGGACTGCTGCTTTAAAGAGACAGTTGCTGAGGTCAGTGTTTGTATTTGTTTGAACCAGTAGTGCTCTTTCTGCTGACACTGTCCTCTCCACTGAACTGTGAACCTACTATTTAGCAATGAATCAATCTCCCAGTTGCTTTTCACCATCACTTTGACTGTTTTGCAGAGCACTCTTAGGATTGAACTTCCTTGTAAATAAAGTCATCCTTTGGGATATAGGGTTAGAAATGGAGCTCTGTGTTCTATGTCCTGATTCTCATTCTGGGCAAAATATCTGAGCTGCTGCTTTGGTGCTCCAAGCAGGAAAAGCAACAGGTTATAATTTATGAGTGACCTTGAGCGGCTGAATATCAATTGATGTATGGTGGAAAGCAGCCTCAGATCTTCTTAGATTGTCCTCTCACTGAGCAGCTACCTCCTCAAGAGCCTGAGTGCTCTCTGATGTATAATCATAATTTTTCTATAAATCTACACCTATTCTGAAAAATGAAGATTATTTTTTAAATAGATAAAATAAATACTCAGCCTCAGTGAATTCCCATTAATGAGGCTCCTGGGCTACCTCTTTAGTGTAGGTGTAAGGATGTATATTTGGCAGGATGAATAAGTGCATCGATGTGGAGGGACATAAAAACAAACCAAAGCAAAACGCCTGCATTTTTGCAAATTTTCTCTGGGAATTATTTTAGTCTAGGTATCCATTATGCTTCCATGCTACAATGATTATAAATAATACAGACCTAAATTTAAGAACATTATTTCAAAATCAACATTAGCCATTACCCTTAAATGCTTTTCCTTCTTTCACTTTTCCACTTCTATTTTTTGCATAGGGACCTATTTGTATTTTGATATATTAATCTGGATTCTTACCCATGGAGTAAAGTAATTACTTCATATAGTGTAATTCTCACACACTTATCCTGACTAAAAAGGAGTTAGTAAGGCTTATAAAAAGACATTAACAAGTAATTCTACAAACTTGTGAAGGCTTTGTGAAATGAGAACAGCTCTTCTGGGCTAATGAGTAGCATTTGTGATTTGGGATGCCAAGAGAATTTCAGATTAGTTTCTCCCATCTATACAACACAACTGGCCAGCATGTTGCTTTGACAGTAGGGTGCAGGTTTATTTTCCAAGGATATGCCCTTACTCCTGTGTAGTAAAGGTATTTTGGGAGGCATATTCCATGTTCTTTTAATTACTGATCTAGCCAACTTACCATTGAGGACACTGTTGTTCATGAATGCCCTGAAATTTAAAGTCTTAGATAGTTTTTCTGGTTGCATTTGCTCTTGTCTTAGAACGGTCTATAGAATTAACGTGAAGTATCTTTCAAAAGCACATTCTATAAATGAGCTCCTGTATAAGAACTTTCCCATTACAAGTTAGTAAAAGGTGAATTATTAGTAAATAACAGGTGCTCTGCTACCTTCCTAATGATCTGATCACAGATTCAGAGATTTTTTTCCATGAGGAGTTTTATACACACACACACACACACACACGAATGATACGATTTTTACTATTTTATTGTTACAGCTGTTATCGTCTTGACATTTATCAGTTGTTGACTGTGTACATACAAGAGTGTTATTAGTTTTGTAAAGATGGCAGAAGACTCTGAAGACATTTCACCCTTGTAAAATCAAACTTTCTACTGGAAAATGTTGAAGCTTAAAAATAATTTGCAATTTGCAATTTTCAAATTTTCTTTTCCTTCCTAAAATCTCCATTTGAACCTTATACTAGCCAGCAGCAGGAGAACTGGCTTGGCACATATTTTAGTAACACGCTTGAAGAAGTTTAGGCTCAGAGAAGATTTCAAGGTCATTGAATCCAATCATTTTATGTTATTTTTATCAGACCAAATTTATTTTCTGTTTTCATTTTAAAATAACAAAATACAGTTTTCAAAAATTAATTTCTTATATGCCTTATATTCTGCTTCCACAACATCTGACACAACCACAGTTCAATTTCAAAATTAGGAAATTAAGATTTATATAATATGACCAGCCATTCTACATATTTTATTCAACTTTGCCAACTGACCTACTAATGTCCCTTTCTCGAGCTAAGATCTAATTCAAGATCACAGGACGTGTTTTCTTACTCCTAAATCTCCTTCCTCCCTGACAGTTCCCAGTCATGAAGGACAACTTCATGACACTGACACTTTTGGAACATACTGTTCCCTTATTTTGTAGAAATGTTCTTCAGTTACAATTAGGTTATTTTCAATTTTAAGCAACCAAGTGTGGTCATTCTCCAGAACTCACAGCATGACTGTGGTGAGCACCTTATACCCAAATAGAAGACTGCTAACCATATGGAAAGTTATTTCCAAGAATTCAGAAGGCATACCAGCTGCTTCAAGGGGTGAGGTGGGGAATGATACAGGTCAATGAATTGGTTCACCAGTTATATAACAAATGCAGTAGATAAATGTCTCCGATAGATTCCTGATTTCCTACGGAATCTTGGGTTTAAAGCTAGACCCTGGGACTACATTGGTGTGCTCCAAACGAAAATGTTCCCAAATAGTTTTGATTTCCTTTTTCTTTTCCCCTAGGACTTTGTGGTATTTTAAAGGAAACCATAGTGTTAGGGGCACAAAACATTTAGAAATGGCTGGTAACGAAGTACTCTTTCAAATGAGAATATGCAAAACTGGTTTTAGATCCAATGAAGGCTACAGAAGGTCAAGAAAAGGGAGCAAAGCTGGCGACTGATGGGAAAAACCGTAAACACACACAGACACACACACACACATGCAGACACACGCTTAAATTTATATACTTTTAAAATATGCTTTTTTATCCACACACGGCCCCACCTCCATCCCCACAGGCCTTCTGTGCCTCTCAGCCAGGACACGCTGCCTGTGCTGTGGGTTACATCAAGGTGCCAATGTAGAGACTGAGAGGGACAGAGCAGGAATAGCAGGAATCCCTCTCCTCTCCAGGACACTGGCTGGAGTCTTCAGTGAAACGCAGTAAAGAGCAAAGGGAGGGTCCTTGGTGCTGGCAGGCTGACCTCAGCCCATAGCGGTGCAGGGCGGTGGGGAGAGCGGAGCTGGGCACCCCCCCACACACAGCTCCCGGCCCCCATGTGGGGCTCTGCTGGCGGCAGCCGGTCCCTGAGGCTCCTCTTCCCACCCACGTGGCGGCGCCTCGCTCAGCACCTGCGGCCACCCCGGGTGGCGCCGCCTCCGCCAGCCCTGCCGCGGCCAGTCTTGGCTGGTGTTGGGGTCCTGAGCTCCGGCCCCCACAGCCACGGAGCAGAGCCCCGCGCCTCCAACTCGGGTCCCGGACTGCCCTCCACCGCTTTGTCTCCCGGGTCGGGAAAGTTGGCACCGGCTGAGCGCGCTCCTCCGCAGCAGCGAGGGGTCCTCTGCGTCCGGGGGTCTGCTGTGGCGGCTCCTGCGGCTCCTCTGCTCCTCGGGGACCGTGGCCCAGACCCCAGAGGGCTGCCCTTCCCCGGCAGTGCGAGGCCCGGCTCCTGCTGCCCCTCCTTGCTCCTGGAGTGCTGTCAGCGCCCAGTGGTGGGAGAGGTGAGCAGGAGCCCGTGGGAGTGCAAAGCCCCTGGGAACTGGGGCGACAGCAGCCTGGAACTCCTCAGCAAGATGAAGAAAGAGGCCTGGCTCCTGGATGGAGGAGCCGAGGCTCACACGCAGCCTGTCCGCGAAGAAGGGGAACCCCGCCCGCAAAGACGGCTCCTGGGTGCCACCAGGACAGCATTGGGAGTAGCGGAGCGGTGATGGGGTGGGGTCGGGGAGGCGAGTGTGAAGATGGGCTGGAGGGTCACGGGCGGAAGGTGATTTGAGGCTTCTGACTTGGGAAGTATGCAAAATAAAGGCTTTGCCCACCTGCTCCAGAAAGTATTTCACCTCCAAGATGTGGCTAGATCTCCTGGAACTTCCATCTTCATCTCTAAGCGCCAAACTTGAAAAAATAAATAAAATAAACAACTTTCAAGTAAGGACATAAATGCCTACTTTCTGTCAATACTACTTGCGCAGCTGAGGACCAGGGAATGAGTAGGGTGTTGTAAATAGGTAGTATGTGGTGGTGAAAGGGTTAACGTGTAGGGCAGGCTGACATTGCCCTCAAGGGATTCCCTTCACCTGCTGTAAGCTTATGAGGACTCCTGTCTGTGATGACAAAGGTATAGGCTAATTTAGAGGGGACAGGATCTCAGTGGACAATCTCTGCCTTCTAGTGTAGTCCCTGTCTCTGGCACTGAGGAGTTGGAAGTTACATTGAGGTGGTGAGGAGAGAAAGAGAGGGAGGGGGAGAATGAAAATGAGTGAGTGTGTGTGTGTGTCTTTCCAGCTTGTGGATTATTGATTATTCTTCAATGTGATTCAGTCCTAGAAACATCAATATCCAAGGGACCACAACTCCCTGTTCATCCTCCATTGCTTGACCTCCGCTAGTGAAACCAAAAATAAAGACCTTTCCATATGAAGAATGGCATTGTAAGATTCCAGGAGGCTGCCCCTGGGGAGGGAGAGTGGGTGTGTAGTGAGCTTCTCCAAGACACAGAGAAACTAGCAGGGCTGAAAGCTAGTGATTTTTTGGCCATGTCAGATGATGTTTTATGTTTGGGTGAATAAATCTGAAGCTCTTTAACCTATCAGAGCTGTCAGTTTTAAAGTGAACCTGGAAACTCTTACTGGCAGAAACAGGAAAACAACAGCTTTGGTGGTGATGATTAATGACCATTTAAAAAGTTGTCAAAGCTACCAGAGAGCAGGCAGAGAGAACACTGTAATCAAGGGTGGGTAATAATTGGACATGTAAGTAAATAAGTGGAAGTTAGATCTGGAAATTGCAAGTTTAGTCTTTGAAATATGCACAAATTATCCAGCTCAGCATCAGTCACCATACCTTCATTTGCAATGCGATTGCAAGAAACCTTCCCAGAGACATGGTGCTTTATGCCCATCATTAGCTTTTAAAATAAGTTTTGAGCAGTTTACAACAAAGATTTACTCCTTGGAAATTCTGTTATACATACTTACAGATTGTATTAAGGCAAATTTTGATTACAGCATTTATCATTGATAGTCCTGTCCTGAGAACATCCACACTATTCTAGTATCTTGCCATAGGACAAGGGTTCTGCTTTATATGTCATTCTGTAGAATTTTATTGAGATAACTGCAGCAAAGATTTCATCTAGCTCCTGGGGACCTTTGACTTCACTGCCTACCTAACAATCATATCTTTAATATCAGTAAAATATTCAGTATTATTAACACATTACTGCTAAAATACTCATCTCACTTAAATCTAAACTTACAAAGATTTTCCCTTCCTTTGGTAGTTAACTTAGAGTTGCTGGCTTCAAATGCATCAAATATATAAGCACTGTGAAATAAAGAACTTTCGGACTAGAAATAGATACTGTTAAACTAAGCTGCAAATTATTTCTTACTTAGTCTTGCAAGATTTTGAACTGAAGAAGAATGGAAGATTATATATATTTGGCAAACAAAATATTCACTTAAGAAATGATTAAAATGCTCTGGCAAATTGTGTGTGTGTGTGTGTGTGTGTGTGTGTGTGCATGTGCGTGCATGTGCACACACTTATACTTACAAGCCCAGTAGAGACTCTGTGGGTCAGGCTTCGGATGGATGGCTTGGAGTGCGTCTACTAAGATAATTGAATATAGTAAGTAATAGGCGAAGTGACTTAATGTTTGAGCTCCCAAAGTTTGCTAAGTAGTGAGATCTCTCACCTCTGAAGTCTTCCATTTCTTATTACCGGCACCCTCATCCACATACACACTGCTTTTTCAGTACATATGTACATGGTTTCAAAAACACCTAATCAGTTTCATCTAACCACATGTATCTGTTTCGGCCTCATGGAGGTGGTAATGTTTAAAGTTATTATTGTAAATTGGAGCAGGGAGGATCAGATGAAACTTGGAGAAAACTGAATTAAATGAAAGCAGAGTGGAGACCCGACTTCTAGTCCTATTTATTTGTTATGTACCCTTGAAAAGTTGTAATAATAATTTGTGTTAGAATTTTTTCATCTGTAAAATGGGATCAGTGCCACTCAGAATTAATCCACAGAATCCCATAATTTTATACAAATAAAAGGACGTTATTGTTATAAAGTCTTGCACATGGATGTGTCATTGCCTTTCCAGTGTTTTTATTTCTCTGAGATTAATAAAGGGGACAGTTCATTAACCCCAAATCTAATAAAATTGAAGACATAGGTTTCCCACTTAGATATCCTACCCTAGAAAGAAGCAGTGTACAGCATAATATACATTCTTTGGAGTTCTCTGATATTTATCTAAAAGTTGCTGCTAAGCAAGACTAATGATTATAATACCATCTGAATTACAGGTACAAATTTATGGTCATTATTGGCTGCTTACCTAACATTTCAAGAATTCTGGATAGTTTCCTTGCCTCATTCCTCTTTCTCTCTCTCTCTCTCTCTCTCTCTCTCTCTCTCTCTCTCTCTCTCTCTCTCTCCTGTTCTTTTTGCTGATGCTTTTGGGGCAGACTTTGAAGATGTAACTTTGCCTTGCACATGATTAGTACTCAGAAATTTGTGTGGATTGATTAGCTAATGCTGGTTAGCATTTTAGAATGCAATGGAAGGCAATTATATACACAGTCATAGACACACAAGGCACTAAAGATATATATAAAATTAGTTCATGGTTAGTACTTTCCTGTGTTTATGTATGTCTGTGTGTGTTTTATATGTTTTATATTGTGAATGTGCTCAGTGCAATTCCCAAAATTTGAGAGCCATGATTTAAATTCAGATACTAATCCAGCCTTGTCATATGGGACAGCTTTTCTCAATGGGAACCTTTGCAAGATCTAGACCCAGTGGGGGAATCTTGTGATATGAAAGATGCTTAGTAAAGACAATTAGTCAAGAACAAGAACATGTTGCTTTTGCACCACTCATTTTATACATGTCATGTGCTATGATCTAATTTTATATATAATATTTAGTGCTTTGTGTGTGTGTTTGTGAATGTGTGTATAATTCTGTCTTTTATTGCATTCTCAAATGCTAACCAGCATTAGCTAATTAATCCATACAAAATTCTTATTAGGTAGATAGTATTATTATCTCTTCTTCACATTTTTTGGCTAAACATAATTTAAGTGTTTCACTTGTTCACTGTCGGTCTCTTTAGCATTAGCAATGTAGTTCAAAGAGATATTAACAAAGGCAGTTATCTGCATTGTATTACTTAACGTACATCATTATAATGGCATTAATGCTACATTCTCAATCACATGACTGCCTGGTTGTTTGATATCTGCCTGTGTGCCATCAGCTATTTTTAAGCACCACACATTTCAACACAACCTTGGTAATTAAACTGGGCCAAGTTTTTTGTTTTGTTTTCTTTTAATTAAATGCTTTTATTTAGCATCTTTTACATTTTGACAATAATCTGGGAAGGGTGGGGTTATTACTCTCATTACACAAAACTAAGGTTAAAAAAGGGATAATTGACTTGGCCAAGATGATACAAATGGTCAGGAATAGAACGTAATTTGGAATTCACATTGATCTGACTCCAAAACCTAGCTTGCCTTACAGACTTTTAATGTAGAACTTAGAAATCAGATCCTTTTAAAACCTGTCTGTAAAATTATTCATCTTGCATGGATTTTATTGGCAGCTGTGAGCCGGCAAATGTTGGTAATAGAAGCTTCATCTTCTTGTGGAAAAATAAATGTCTGTCACATTTTATTCTTTATCTTCAGTAGTAATTGCATTGCTCTCACCCTGTCCTCATCTTTAGAGTCTTGAAGTCAACGCTTGAGTGATTCTTTGATCATTAGGTCATTGGAAATCTTGAGATCTGGTCTTTGTTAATACATTTCTGAATGAGCAACTTAATCTAATTTCAAAATTGACTGAAAACTGTGTTTGGTGTTTATGATAAGATTTTTTCATCTGACTTTTCAGGTATTACCATAAATGGCATTCTTTAGCAAACATACATTGTTTTTTGTTTCATGATCAGCTCTGATCCTAATCAAAAATGCAAATGTAATGTGGCATGAAAAGCAAGGTGCTATAGAAGAAAATAGCACAAAATAGGAAGGTAGACAGACCTACGTTCAATATAAGACTGCCTTAATATCTATCTTAAAAGTAGAGAGACTACCTGTGTTCTGCTTTCTGACAACATAATCAGTAGCTTTTCCGAAGCCCCACCCAGGTTTCATTCAATGTGCTAGTGTCTTCCACCTGAAAGTGTTGAGCACCTGGCATGTGCAAAGCTCGGGGATAGCAAAGGTACCACATTGTTCGATGCCTTTGATTGAGAGTATGCATCTTTGCCTGTTATTCATATGCATATATGTTTATAGAAGTCTTGAAATTTGAAAGATATTAATTAAATCAATTGATATTTGCAGTGAGATATAAAGCATATTAGTTTGATTTATATCATTTTTGTTTTGGCAGACATGAAATATTTGGCTACAAAATGCATAATCTAGAAACAGAATTTAAATCTTTTTGAAATTTACTGTTACCTCCTAGGAAAGATAATTAATATTGACTCTGGGGATGATTTACATCTTTCTTAGGACTCTCAAAACTGTAGAATTGTCCAAGCATGGTGGCTCATGCTTTTGTAATCCCAGCATTTTGGGAGGCCGAGGTGGGTGGATCACCTGAAGTCAGGAGTTACAGACCGGACTGGCCAACATGGTGAACCTCTGTGTCTACTAAACATACAAAAAAAAAAAAAGGGGGCCAGGCATGGTGGTACATGCCTGTAATCCCAGCTAATTGGGAGACTGAGACACAGAATTACTTGAACCCAGGAAGTGGAGGTTGCAGTGAGCCAAGATCAGGCCAATGCACTCCAACCCTGGGTGACAGAGTGAAACTCCATCTCAAAACGAAAACAAAACAACAACAATAAA